AACTAGTTTAGTTTTCTATTATAATATAAATAGAAATTAGTTCTTACTTATATAAAGAAATTAAATTACTTTATACTATATATATAGTTCTAGCAAATAAAATATTAAAATTAAAAGCTAGTAGTATTACCTCTATATAAGTACTTCTAATTAATAAATATTTTTCTTTTATAAATTAGCTAAATATACTTTATTTATTAAAGGTAATATTAAAGACTAAATTACTCTTTATATAGTATATATACTTTTTATTTAAAATAAGTTTACTAACTTTATTACTTTATAAAATAGCTATAAAATTTATATATAAAGAAATTATTAGTATATTAAATCTAGAATTTCTATAGACTTATATTATATATAAAATACTTTAAACTAAAGTATTCTACTAAGTTTTAATAATAATATAGCTAATTAATAAGCTCTATATAATATACTTATACTACTTTATAGAATTAATATTAAATTATTTCTTACTAAAATTATAAATAAATAGTATATAAAACAGCTAGAAAAGCTAGAATATTTTAATTATAAACTTAATAATTATACTTAGCTTTATATATTAATTTATCTTTTGCTATAAAATTAAATTTAGAATTATTTTAAAACTAGTTTAGAACTAGTTTTAAAACTAAGTTTAATTCTATATAGAGAAGCTTAAATATATATATAGTAATATTAATCTACTAATTTATATATATACTAATTATTTATAGTACTAACTTCTTTAAGATAATTTTAAGCTATATATAATACAGGGATTATATCGTTAAGATGCGACTACTCTTTTAGGAAAGAGCCCTACTTTTGTTAGTAGATAAGGCTGATAAGGCCTAATAAGGCTTGATAAGGGATTTTAGGGGGGGTAAAGTAGTGTGTAATTATAAACTTACATATATTAATAAGCAATATTTACGAGAAAAATCGCTATAGGTAAGAAGTCACTTTTATATACATAACATATAGGAAAGGTACTTCACGCCTAGGCGTGTGTGCTAAATCGCTATAGCAGGGGATTGTTATAAACCTGCTTTACTATATCTTTAATATTCTATTTATATATATTATTCTTATAAAATAAGTTAAAGACTATATATAATATAGTATATATTTAAGGCAGAAGTTAAAATAATTTAGCCTACTTAAACTATATTTATTTAAGCTTAAAAGAGATATTATTATTAAATTATACTATAAAGCTTAGTTAAATATATTTATTTATTTATTGCTTTTTATATAAAAGTTTATTATTAATATTTAACTATAAAAGTAGCTAAAGTTTAATTAGACTTAGTAGAACTAGTTAGTATAAATATAGAAGCTAGTCTTAAATTAGTTTATAATTAATTTATATCTCTACCTAGCTTATTTATTTTTTCAGAAATAAAAAAGCTCTCTTAAAAAGTACTAACTAATAGTAGTAAAATAAGCTAAATAAGTAGCTTAGCTAAATTATACTAAAAGTTTTTTTATATACTTATTAAGGACTAGCCTTACAGGCTACTGTGTATAAGCATTACTAGTATTAACTATAAACTTAAGGAGAGAAAAGAGGGAAAGAAGAAGCTCTCTATTCTCTCTTTTCCTTCTATTATATTATATATATATAAGTTTAATATATATTTAAAGTATACTTAATAAAGCACTAATATAGTGCTTTATATCTACTTAAGCTTATAGCTTAAGTTTATTATATACTCTTCTTCTAGTAGGTTTATTTATATTGCTGCTATATAGTAAGAATAAATATATAGTATAAATCCCCCTAGCAACTATACATCTTTACTCTATGTTTTTTATATATAGTATATACTTAGTGTGCTTCTGCTTTACAAATAGTTTAGCAACTTTATACTGCTTATTTTTATTATTTTCCTCTTAATAAGTATTATTAATACTTTTTTTATACTACTAAAAATTTTTATTTCTAAAGATTACTACTACTACTGCCTGCACGCCTGCTTTCTTTCTCTATATTACTTCTATATTACCTCTACTATCTTAAGCATAATATAGTATATTCTGCGCACTTAATTTAGTTTTAGAGAGTCTGCTGCTAGCACGCCCCCTCCCCTGCTCTTACTGCCTCTACTGCTATACTATAATGCCTACTATATAGGTAAGTATGCTATAGAAGGCAACTCTAATAATAATAACCTCTTTAATAGAGAGAAAGTTCTAGGAATATATATATTATATTAGTATAAGCTTATTAATACTAACTCTACTAGTTATATTTCTAGCTTTACTATAGTTTATAAGTAGTACTATAAAACCTATAAAAAGTATGCTATAAAACCTACAAGAGGTACGTCTAGAAGGCGCACCTCTATGCCTTAAACTCTAAGCTGCACTACTAATAGAAGAAAGTATAGCAAATTACAAATGCTAGTAGGCATATTATATCTACTATATATAAAAAGTCTAGTAAGAAGTCTCTACTGCTATACTATAATGCCTACTATATAGGTAAGTATGCTATAGAAGGCAACTCTAATAATAATAACCTCTTTAATAGAGAGAAAGTTCTAGGAATATATATATTATATTAGTATAAGCTTATTAATACTAACTCTACTAGTTATATTTCTAGCTTTACTATAGTTTATAAGTAGTACTATAAAACCTATAAAAAGTATATTTAGAAAGTATATCTTTATACTTTAAACTTTAAGCTATACTACTAATAAAAGAAAGTATAGATACTACTAATAAAAGAAGGTGTAGTAAATTATAAATACTAGTAGGCATATTATATCTACTATATATAAAAAGTCTAGTAAGAAGTCTCTACTGCTATACTATAATGCCTACTATATAGGTAAGTATGCTATAGAAGGCAACTCTAATAATAATAACCTCTTTAATAGAGAGAAAGTTCTAGGAATATATATATTATATTAGTATAAGCTTATTAATACTAGCTCTACTAGTTGCATTTCTAGCTCTACTATAGCCTATAAGTAGTGCTATAAAACCTACAAGAGGTACGTCTAGAAGGCGCACCTCTATGCCTTAAACTCTAAGCTATACTACTAATAAAAGAAGGTGTAGTAAATTATAAATACTAGTAGGCATATTATATCTACTATATATAAAAAGTTAAGTAAGAGCTTTAGTATATATACTAAATTTTCTATATAGTTTAATTCTACTACTAAAAAATTTAATATATTATTAAAGTAGGCTTATATTGCCTCTAGTTCTATTTATTTCTTATATATACTACTTAATTTATCTTCTAGTAGTATAGCTACTAGCGCTAATTTGCAGGCGCTAGCGCTTACTAGCGCGTTAATACCTACTTACTATAAGTATATACTGCCTTTAAACTAGTAGATACTAGTAAGTTTTTTCTAGAGCTAAGCTACTATAGCTTAAAATATTAAGCAAATGCTATATAAGTAGCAGGCAGAGTAGGTAGAGTTATGCTGCAAATGCACTAACTAGTAGAAGCTAATCTACACTCTAGTTAATACGCTTTATAGAGAGGCAACTTCTTGCAGCTAATATATTTGCTCTTATACCTCTAAGACTTTAACTTATCTTTATAGTAGAAAAGAAGGTAGTTATAAAGGTAATAGTATTTAAAATACTATTCTCTCTTTGCTCTCTCCCCCTCTTAATAGTTAGGTTATTAATTTAACTAGCAATAAGTTATACTTAAAGTTGCTTAAGAGGCTAGAGTGCTTATTTTAGTAGGCGCTATATTAAGTATAGGTTAAGTATAAGTTAAGTATATATTAAGCTCTATAGGTATATTATCTCTCTTTTTTCTT